CCCCAAAACCCCAAAACCCCAAAACCCCACTTATTTAGAAAAATTGAAAAATGGAGCAAAGCCAGGACAGCAAATGTAAAATGAGGAACAAAAACAGAAGGCATCGTAGAAAAGAGCTTGAGCAAAAAGACCTCGAAGATGGGGTGATTACCATTCCGAACTATTTAGTCAAAAACGGATTGAGATATGTTGAAAAATAGCCAATTTGCTTTTAGAACTTATGTAAAAGGACGGTGGGTCGGCCGAACACTCCTTGATGTCCTTGAAGATGAATTCAAGAGTAACCAACTTTTATATATTTTAGCCAATGATAGAGAATATTACGCACAAGCTATTCAAGATCAAAGGATATTGATAAATGAACTACCAACCACTGAAGATCACGAAATTGACCTGAAGGATGAGCTTAGTAAGGAAATATTTTTATATATAGCACATTATATTGAGAGAATTGAGGTTCCCATAATTGATCCTACTCTTGAAATAATCGAAGAAAATGATGAATATCTAATTGGTATGATTCAGACTTATATTTAGTGAATAAACCTTCTTCTATTCCTGTTCATCCATGTGGAAACTACAAGTACAATTCTTTACAACTGATATTACAAAGAGAGCATGGATATGCTGAGCTAAGGGTTTGTAATAGACTTGATAAACAAACATCAGGAATTGGTATCATCTTTACTTTTGAGCTGTAGTGTTTTGAGCAAAATCCATTGAAGCAGCAAATAATTTCAACGCTGATCTTAAGAGTCTTGGTCAAATCAAGAAGGCTTATTTAGCAAGAGTTATTGGGAAAATAGATGTGAACAAGGAAACTGACGATTTTACACTTATACCAGATGAGCCTTCAACTTTCCTGGTAGATAAAGCACTATTTAGACCAAAGAGTTCATATTGAACCACTATTCCTCAAGATGATGGCAAGAAGGGCAAAGACTCTCAGACAAAATTCCAGTTTTTGTTTTATGATGAAGATTCAAACACTTCTGTTCTAAAATGTTTCCCAATCACTGGAAGGACACATCAAATCAGGGTCCATCTTAAGTCAATTGGGCACCCAATAGCTAATGATCCAAAATATGGAGGTGAACTGTTTAATGATATCCCTGATCTTCCATCTATTGATGAAGAAGCGAAAGAAGGTACCTTTACTACTATAATCCATAGATCCTTCTGATCCCTATACTCCAAAGCTAATAGAAGGGATGTGCTTAAAAATATGGCTGCATGCATATGAGTACACTTTCAAAGGAAAATGCTACTCAACTGAACTGCCTGATTGGGCAACTCAGGAGTATAAAATACCTCATCGGTTCTCTTACGAATATTAGTGGTCAATATGTTAAAATACGGAGGGGTTTTGGGGTTTTGGGGTTTTGGGG